ATAAGAACTCAATTTCTAACATCAAAACATCTGACTTTTATGAAATACTACCCAAAATGAATCCACAGCTTAGGGGCGCTGATTTGGTTATAAAATAAATATTCTCCACCATCCACCTGCTACATAGCTAATGACTGTAACATGTGATGTGTGTGGTTTAGCTTTACCTTATAGTTTTTAAAATGTTAAGTAATTCTTATTAAAGAGAGGTCTGAGAGGCTTTTCTTCATCAATAAAATGATTGTTGTTGGTGAAATTAGAGCATTTTAAAAATTAAACAATTTTAAAAAGGTGTACATGGGTAGTGTAATTCTAAGTAATATGAAATGGTTTACAATATACAGTATAAATGTTTAATCATTGTGTTGTGTGCCATTGTGGCCCGATTTCTGTTCAGTTCAGTTTATGAAGTACCTCTTATTTGGATAATGCAAAGGTTAACAGCCTTTTCACTGTGTGAAAGGCTCCAAAACAGTGATTTGTCGCCATCTTGTGGCACAAGACAAAAAATGAACCATTGAACTCCTGTCAATTTTCAGGAAAAGGACTCATTTCAGGCACATCGACATTATTGATTTTCATAATTTTTTGGAAACAGACACAAATATTTACTGAGGAATATCCTGCATAGAATAAATCATATGTAAAGCAATTTCCTGTTAAATGTCAACAACAAGCAAATCAAAGTTTTACCTGTCTTTCAAAACTCCATTGGCATCTGCCCAGCGAAGTCTTTCTTGATTCATTTCCACTGTGTAACCTGGAAATGAATAAACCAACTAACAACCTTGCTTCTGAAGCTCATATAATGCATGACAGTTTTATGATATAAATCTTTCTGTGACAAGAACTGCAACAAGAAACAAGCAAGAGAATATAGTAATTAAATGACCATTACAAATAATGCTTCATGTGTCATATATACATTTTTCATGTTAAATCCCTGTATACTGTACTGTACTTGCCTGGGTCCAGACCTTTGAATCCGCCTGCTCCACCGGGTTCTGGAGATGAAAGTGGAGTGAAGTGAGTTGACAGTTCTACTGCTGACAATGACCCTGATGAAGAGCTGACTTGGTCACATTTTACACTACAGTGTGCGTTGGATTGTTGGACTTGCGTTTGAAATTTTTACTGAGATCATATTTTACCCACGCAATGAAGCCTTCAAAAGATGGAATAAACCCAGTATACCTGGAATATCTCAAGAGCACCTGAATGTGATCACCCTTAAGACCCAGAAGCGCTTCTACTCCATATTAGATTATATTGTCTTCACTCACATATCAATGTCCTGATCTACAGACCTTTAATGGCTGCCAAAAATGTATCATGACTAATTGGCAATGAACTCAATATGACCCATCTTTCTGGTAGAATTTATGACTTCAAATGAATTGTTATATGAGTCATTTTACATTAGGCAGTTATATCATTTTCTCTACACCTCTATATAACAACCACATGTCTTAACAATAGCTCAAGAGGCTCATCAGAGCCTTGTTGGCAAATGGATTAATAATGTGACTGATATTACTGCCCAAAAGCATTAAGTCACTTGATAAGATACAACATCTATTCTATTAACATAGAGGTCATGAGCAAAATGTTAACAACCAAGGTGATATAAAATAAAATACAATGGAAGTCACCTGAATATGAATGGTGGAGGAAAGATAAGGTTGCTTATTTAAGGTTGCTGCCATGACTTGTTTTCCTCTGTTGCTAATGATAATTAACATGCAAATGAGCCCTGGGAGCTAAATAGTGGCACCGTGGTTCTCTGTTAATAATTACTGTGGAACATCATGGTTATAAATGAGATCTTTGCAGGTACAAGACAGGACAGTAATTGAGGTTGTGACTAAAGAACCTGTAACATAGAAAAATTGTATTGGAAAGTGGTTATAATAATGGTTTCTGTTCATTTTGTGTGTGTGTGTGTGTGTGTGTGTGTGTGTGTGTGTGTGTGTGTGTGTGTGTGTGTGTGTGTGTGTGTGTGTGTGCGTGTGTGTGTGCGTGTGTTCCCAGGGGAAGGTGATCCATTATGGGTATAGAAAATTATCATAATTAAAAATATTTTTCTTTGGTCTGGAGTAGTACCCTTTCACCCATTGCGGTACTAAATTTTAAAAACCCTTGTTCTCCTTGAATTTTCAGTCACTTGTTTTAACGGTCTGCTCTTGTATTTTAAAAACAAACTGCTAAAAGATCCAGCACAGGACGTAAAGGCAGGCCTACTAATTTGATTATATCAATAACAAAGGAAAGATAATCAAATACACATGGTGGTGCACACTGAATGTGCATAATGTGTAAATGTGCATAATGTGTATAGTATTCCAGTTGTTTGTTAAAGTTACTTATCCATGCATCTGTTATTTTACTAAGCTGCTGTGACACATTAATTTCCCTTTGTGGGCTCACTAGAGTTTATCATATCTTATGCAATGATAAATATTCAAAAACATGTAGATATGAGTTTTATATGGGAAATTATACTAGAAACAAACACTCCATAAGACCGACCGTGCTAAAACTTTGAATATAAACTTAAAACCCATTTTTAAAGAGGAAAATAAAAGAAAAAGAAGGGCCCTGGGATTTTGTACATTACTTATGAATGTTTTAAATCAAATTCAAACATACAATCACTGGTGGGCTATAGGACTTGATAAAAATGAGCAAAAGGGAAACTGTTATAAGTTAAAATCCTTTAAAGCTAAATATTTAGATCAACAAATATTGTTTAGATACTGTGAAAATAAGTCTTAAACTGAAAGGAACTGCTTCAAAACCAGTGTGGACTTTTTACAGAAGTTAATTTTTTTTAAAGACACTGAAGCAGACTGCACTAATTTTTCTTATTTCTTAAAAACTCACTGCAAGGCTCACTCCAATGAAGAGGCTGTTTGATCTTATAGAAAGCCTCTGATACAAGTACTAGCTCTTCTCCTCTGTAACCTCATTACATCCTTTAAACTCATCAGCTGAACATAAACTATCACAACAACAAAGTATTTCCACCTGTCATACACTCAAAAGGTTATCTGTTAAGCAGAACAATTAGAAAGGAGATGCATGGATCCAAAGTGCTCATTTAAAACAGGTTCAAATACCTCACTCCCCCAAATGCCACAAATTATGTCACTGACATCCTCAGAATTTGTTTTTATTTTTGCTGAACACCTAAAAGACAACCCTCTACTAATTTTGTCCTCTTACCTATAACTGTGGCGGCATCATGCACACAAGCTGTACCTGCATATAGCCTCTAGCTGTGCCACATCACAATTTACGTATGGATACATACAGTACAGAATTTTCAGCCTACATTTTACTTAGGAAATAAATGAAGCTTTGGTCCCTCATCTTGTCAGAATGCTGCAGCAGGAGCACAATACACTGACTTTGCAATCCAGAGTTAAATGGACCAAAGATATATGTTTAATCAGACCTGGTGTGACCTGGAAAAAGGGAAATCCACCTCTAATGTTAGCTTGTATGCAGAATTATCCTTCTTATAATAGCTTTAACATTGTCAACTAAATTTAACAGACCTGGTTAAAGATGCATTTTGTAGACATCTTATCTACACATGCCCATCATGTTGACAGTAGGTTGTTTATGACTATTTGAACTATAACAATGTCCTGCAGCTGTACAAAAAAAGGCAAAAAGTTAAATGTCACAAAGGGGGGGGTTGTGAGCAGGCTGACAGCTGAAATGTCACTGCAATGGTGCTAGGGCTGCACAATTAATCAAAGTATTATCGAAATTGCAATACAGCCAAGTGCAAATCGCAGAAGCTCCAAATTTTTGGATAAAGGTTAAATGTGTGACAAAACAGCTTCATAATGAAGCACTGTAGTTCTGCAGAGATGCCCTGTCCTACAAATCTTATCCTCCAGATGTAAGAAAACACGTTTGTTTGGTACAAACCCAAACAAATTCACATCATCATGATTTTAATATTCCCACTCATTGTGAATCATATCGCAATATCTATCAGAACAATCGAAATATGATTTTCTTTAACATATCACCCCTAAATGGTGGCCTGTTTACCTCAGACTACTATGCTATGGAGTGGAATTTGAGCACCTTGGAATTGTAATAGTTATTTTGACAACTTTTCAAAGTTCTAACATTTAACCCAGAGTGGCTTTTCAAAAGAAGCATTGATTACAAACATTTGGTGATAATAAAGTTGCTTAAAGGACGAATATTAAACAAACTAACCTACCGAAGGGCAGGTACACTTCTCGACGACATGAAACCTAGAAAACAGGAGTGTGTAAAGTCACAAAAACACAAATGACTCTGATTGAGCACAGAACGTACCTCTAAACTGCATACAACAAATAGGTTATCCAAGATGGCGACTCATTTCTTCCTCGTTAATGGTCGGACAGAGGAGCGTTTCCTGAACAGCGACAGCCTCCTGGCTATTAGTGGCTTCTTCAGCCAGGCTTGGAGCCGGTGTCTGAGCTGACTGAAAAAGTTGGTCAATACATTATTATTTGGGTTTAAAGCCCTTGCCAGCTCCCTCTGTTTCATCTCTTTTCTTTTCTGGTATCCCAGTTTATGTGCAGGAGCGGGCATGACAAGCAAATTTACTCAAACATTAGCTTACTCATTATTTTAGGCTACTTTTTACCAAAGCAACAAATGTTGCTTTGGCTAAACAAAATGTTTGGTTTTGTTGTTTTAATAACTAATGGTTTTTTGCTGTCCTCCATGAGCCCCCCCCTAGCAGCTGGGCATTAGGAAGCTTTCCTCCTTTTTTTTTGATACTGTCAGTGCTTCCCCTCACCCTTATGGCCGGCCCTGAGCAGAGGGGGGCAAGGATGGGTCTTCAGAGGGTTTCTGAGCACAGCACAGGCTAAGGATAAAGAAAGCAAACTTCTATTATTATTTATATAATTTAGAGACAGGACGCTCCATACTCCGGTACAGCAGGCGGCGGTATGCATGTTTAAAGTTGGATACGGTCCGCCAGTAAACACAACGAGGAAGACGCTGGGAAAGGAGACGAAGAAGAGGTAGGTTGTGCGCGAAGGTATATAAATACATAAGTAAATAAAATGAAAACTGAGTCAGTCTGTGAACATTATTGTGAGAACAACATGGCACGGAGTTGTTGTGCTGTGAACTGAACGAGTCGAACTAGTGATGGGTGGAAAATGTTCAATATCCCAAGACGGAAACATCCCTTCCAGCTACGGAGGATACAGACTTAATTTTTTTTAGCCTATTATTCAGCCAAATAATCAGAAACTCACTGCATTGACTATTTGAAGAAAAAAATTAAAAAAAAAAAAAAAAACAAATACAAAGGGAGGGAGAAGATCAAATAAACTATTTCAATATTTACAAACTCAAACAAGCAGTTTACATAAAAGCTAAAGCAACACAATTATCCAGAGATGTGCAGAGAGAGTAAAAGAAAAGGTCAAATGTGCCCCACCACACCCCACACCTATTGGCTGACGGCACACAAGAGGAGAGGGAGAGACCCCAGAACTGTTGACAGAAGAGCTGTAGACTGCAATGACTCTGAGTAGCATGCATGGGAATTAATTACAATATAATATACTTGAATATATTTCTCCCCTTTTTGGTCTGAATAAGCCACTTCATTTGTTGCTAGATATATTTTTAGAAATAAAGTCGCCAAGAGGGTCTGGAAAGTTGCTAAATGTAGCAAGAAAGTTGCCATGTTGGCAACACTGGCTCTCTCTATGATTGGTTTTCTGTGTGTAAACACTCATCTGACGTAGCGTAGACCTTGTGCCAGTGCCACAATATTTTGAATTTTAACATCTAACAATTAAAATGATATATATTCCACACTGTATCTTTTTGTCCTAGGTGTTATTTTTATTGTCCCCGGAACAACGGGACATCCTAAATTTTGAGCTCTGACAGCTAATACGGTATAAACAATATTGCAAGATCTTTACAGATTGATATAGTTGCATGGTATATATTATCATATGACCCATCTCTACTCTTTTGTGTCACACTGTTACAAATTTTAGGTTTATGAACATCATTATTTTCTGGCCTTTACATTCAATCTTCTCATATCAGGGAAGCCATCAATGGACTGTGACAGCCTATATTTTGTACCTTCTATATTTAACCACAACGTCCAGAAGACCACACGGGGAACTGCAAGGTTGGTGGTTTTGTCATTTAATCTGTGACCATGTTCTTCTTAGCCACTAGAACGTTTTCCATGTTTGTTTGGTGTATTCCACTTTGATATCGTGCAGTGTTATCTCAGGCTGGTTGTGTAATTCACAGGAAGAGTGAACCAGAAAGAGTTGGGAAGGGAAAACTCACATTGTTTGAGTTTTCTACAGGTATGCAATGCTAGAAGAGAAATATATCATTTATATGTGCTTGTATATATATAACTGGTTGTTTTCAGATTGTTAAAGTTTGTGGCTTTTTTTTCTCTTTGAAGTGTTGCAGATAAATGTGACCAGGTGCCACGAAAACAGATGGATGTCCTCATCCTGCAATACAACCAGCTATTTAACAGCTGTGGAGCACTGAAACGAAAAATGAAGACAACACTGGAAGAAAACAAACAACTGAAGGAGCAACTGGGGAGACCAAACTTTAGGTTTGATTCTATTAAGGATGAAGACTCCAAAGTTCAGTTTTATACAGGAGTGCTGTCATTGCAAGTTTTCCTTTGGCTGTTAAATAAATGGCTGTTTTTTTAAGGGATGAGCTGAGTTGGGAAGACCATCTGCTTTTGGTTCTCATGAAGGTCAAACATGGATTCACAAACAGATACATTGCTGGGAAATTTGGACTATCTATCTTCACTGCTTCAAAGATCATCAGGGAGTGGATACCTCTATTGTCTTCTATACTGCGACCCTTTATAATCTGGCCAAGCAGGGAAACAGCAAGAGCTTATCGAGCACGAGCTGAAACGTGGTCAGGTCAGAAAAATCAACACATTATCAAGTAGCTTATCTAATTGGAATAACACCAGCAGGGACTGTTTGTTTCTCATCGGATGGATTTGGTGGCAGGGCCTCTGACAAGATAATGGCATCAGAGTCTGGCTTTTTAGGGAAGCTTAAAGATGGCTATGTGGTTCTCGCTAACAGGAGGTTTCTTGTCAGGAGGAATTGGCGAGTGTTGGAGCGTCGTTAAAAATTCCACGTTTGACAAAAGAAAAGTCACACTGGTACGGCTCCTGTTCCTGTTGGCTGTCAAGAGTCCACATCCGCATGGAGCAAGTGATTATTCTCTTTAAAACCTTTCAGATACTCAACACTGTGATACCCATCAGCCAGGTAGATCTCCTGGATGACATTGTGACGCTGTGTGCGGGTCTCACCAACATTAAGACCGGTATTCCAGTGATTGTTAAAGAGGAGATGGAGGCCATGTGACAAAGACTAACAGGAAGACACGATGAGAAGAATTTATCATGTTTCTCTGTGTGCAGAGTTGTATGTTTGGGTGCATTGTCTTGATAACTGTATGTTGAAATGATGCCAGAGAATATTTTTGTTAGTTTACTTTAAGTTGTTAACACCAGGTGTTATTGGAAGTTTAAAAGGTGGTTATTACTAATCAGGTGTAATTTGTGTAACTTGTGGCCATCACAGTAACACACATTAAAGATAGCATGAACCTCTGCTTCCAGTCAACTGTTCTCTGGGGAATCTAAAATTGTGTGTCTACAGCAGTTAGGGAGCCTTATCATTTGCCAAAGTGAGACCTTTTGCATTACAGGCATTTAACTAAGGAGATGGCCCATGACTAAACATATGACTATAGCTGAAAATCACTAGTTCAGATGAAACAGTGAACACTCAGTTTAAGACTTGGATTTTTAGTAATTGTAATAAAAAACTTGTAAAGTTTAGTGTAGGCTTTAGCTGATGGGTATTTTGTTTAAGGTTTCTAACAAACACATAAATACCATTAAGAAAACACAGAAGACATTAGATTAACCACTACATTCTTTATTTGATGTTCAAGTGCAACAACCAGCACTAACACAAAGATCCACATTTTAGTTGCTGGCCATCACCTGGGAAAAAAAAAAGGAAAGCGTGAAGTGTTTTAAAATGCTCCACTAGAGGACACTAGAACATCTGTGCTTCTTTATCACATTTCCACTATACAGTTCTGAGTTACTGAATAGTTCAAATTCAAATGGAGATGACTGTTACAGTGGTGTTTACTGTAGCTACTGTGTTATAAGTTAATTTTATTTTATCTTATATTTATTTATTTTATTTTATTTTTAGGGTTAGGGTTTTTAATTTTTGTTAAATGTATGTTTAATGTATGTAATGTATGTTTTGTATTTTGTATGCTACTGGATACTTGAATTTCCCTCGGGATAAATAAAGTATCTATCTATCTATTTCATAATTTGTATTATTTCTGGAAAATAATAGAATTTTGCAACAGACGAAAAATGCTCCTTTTTGAATAAAACATTTCTCAGATATTTGTCTGATATTAGAAGCCATGCAATAGTCACAAACAAATGGCTGTCCAGGTCTTTCTGTTTTTTGACTTGGCTTTACTTACGTTGTTGATCCAGGAGATGTAGGCGCTGACCCTAGTGAAGACGGAGGGCTTCTTGTAGTAGTTGCAGCCCATGCTTGAGCCGAAGCTGACCACACCATGGACGTCCCAGGAGCCATCAGGGTTCTGACAGTTCAGGGGACCACCAGAGTCTCCCTAAAGGGGAACAGAGACAAATGTTGAGTGTAAGGCTGGAATTTAGTTTCACAGGAACTTTTATTACACATTACATACGTTAATCAGACTCGTCAAATACAGTGAATCAGACTCACATTGCAGCTAGCCAGCTGTCCATCTCCTCCAGCACAGACCATGTTGTTGGTGACCAGGCTGCCCCACCAGTCATACCTGGTGCAAGTAGCATGGTCGACCACAGGAAGGAGAGCCTGCTGCAGGATGTCAGCAATAGGACCTCCAGCTTTAGAAGAGAACAGTGCATTGAGACTCAGGGCTGCAATCAAGACCACCTTATTCAAGTCTCTTCCAAAACTAGGTCCGCTAGATCCAGTTTCCATTCATAAGTGGGTGAAAAAGTTTGTGGAAAGTGGAAAAAACTGAACTCCATTAAAGATATAGCAGGACATTAATGTTGCCAGCCTTGGTTGACAGATTCTTTTTTCTTTAGTTGGTAGAACTTACTCCAGAGACGGCCCCAGCCAGTCACGTAGCAGGGAGCATTGTTAGGCAGGATGTCCCCAGAGTTGGGAAGACAGGCAGCCATGATGGAATCAGAGAATGTGACAGGAGTTGACAGCTTGATCAGGGCGATGTCGTTACTAGGGCAGGAATGTGAATATCACAATTAGAAACAGGATGTTGATGAGCCTGGGTAAAAAAAAACAGTAACAGTATATAATCTACTCTGCAAGAGGAAGGGAAAAGACTGAGCCTACCGGATTCTGTAAGAGTCCCAGTTCTCATGAACAACAATCTTGGAGGGGCTGATGGCCAGGGAGCCAGGCTCATTGTTGGACTTCAGATTGTGTTTTCCCAGGTACACTCTGTAGGTGCGACTGCTGCTCGGCCAGAAAAAAAACACAGGAACAGAGTTGCTTTGATCTGGGTTTTATTCAAGAACACTTTATTAAAATGTCTCACTTAATTATAATCAATTCAATTACCTCTACTACCATTATATCACTATAGGACTACTGCCAGTGTTAACAAAGGAGGGATTACCGATTATTTATATCCTGATGTCTATAAAATAGCTTTTCTTGAATCATTTCATTGAAAAAAAGTAAGAATGCATTCAGATTTCTTTAACTTTTTAGCCATACCCGATGCAGTGAGCAGCAGTGAGGACCCACTGGTTGGAGATCAGGGTGGCACCGCAGGTGTGGTAGAAGTTGCTGCCACTCTGGTACTGCAGAGACACCTGAGGAGGACAAATAACGACAGTACAGCAATGTTTAAGAAATGGACAGAAGAGAGAATTTAAAGGAGAAGCATGTTAAAGTGGCATACCTGCCAGGGCCAGCTGTTCTCACGGACATCGTCTCCACCAACCACCCTGGTGACGACGGGAGGGAAGGTGGGCAAGCCACACCCATAGGCTAAGAAAAATCAGTACAGAATAAGGTGATTTATGACTGTGCCTTAACACCAGCAATAATATGCAAAAACTGTATTCTTTCAATATCAAAACATTCTCACAGCAGTATTTTAGTGTAAAAATGTGAATCTGTTAACTCAATGAACTCAGTGCTTCATATCAAATTTCCACACCACGTCACTTATAAAGAATGTGGACTAGTTGTGTGCAGCAGCGCTTTTAATCATCTGGTCGGAATAGCATGAGAACTCACCACCAGCGACAAACAAAGCCAAGATCACAAACTTCATGGTGACTGTCTTCAGCAGACATTCAGGGGACCTGCTACTCCTTATATAGGGCTTTAACACACCTGTTTAAAGAAGCCTGTTGCTTAACATTTGCCCCAGAGTGACCAGGAAAAGTTGGTGGGAAAAATAAATCAACCTTGGAGATAAGTAACCACAGATATCCCTAAATACACCTTATCTCCCCAACTCAACCTCTGTGTGAACCTCACAGGTGTCTCACAGTGACCCGAGTTGCTCAGGTCTGTTAACTTTATATAAGAGATGATGTTCACACTCTGCGGTTATATGTTCATTTGAAAATGGTCAGTCAAAATAAAATAAAAGTACTATCCTTTTTTATATATGAATATACACAATCTTCACAGGCTTTTAACATAACAGAACATGTTTTTTTCTCTGGGCACCAGGAATTCTGCATCTCACTGTATATGTTTGCATATGGATGAAAACAATCTGAAAGAACGGCAAAATATGTAATAATGTGATTATTCTAGTATATATTAATATTAGTGAGCAAATTAGAATAAAAACAACAAGGCAATTAATTTTAATTAATCCCACATCAGTGTTTTAAAGTGATAATAAGAAGTTTAGACACATAAACACTTCTTTTGTAGATGCAATTGATAGAATTACATATAATTTCAAAGGTGTAGAATTAATGTTCATATTTTATGTGCAGCAGTTTTGGAGAATAAATGTTTTCTGGAGTTGTAGTCTAGTGGTATTCCTCAATGGGTACTTGGTTATGAAAGGCATAGATTTGTTTTGCACCAGTGCTGACATTTACAGTATATAAAATCACATGTTTAGTCAATTGTTGCAATATTTTTGCTTTGATGCAAAGGTTTGTGGAGAAGAACCTTATTAACAGTCCTTTTTTTATGTAGATACATGCAAGGTAAGTGGGATTTCAGTATTACACGGCATTAATAACTTTGCACTACTCGATTGCATGTATGTAATACAGTACAGTCATGGGAAAAATTCAGTGCTTTCACAGGCAATGGAAACTTTAGCTCCTAGAGCAGGCGAAACATTTCTTTGTAAAGGAAATCAGAGTAGGGAGGGCTTCATCTGATAGGGAGCGAGGCTCTTTGTGTCAACTCCCACTCTTTATGATAAAAGCTAAAAACCCTTCATTCCACTGACCCGTTCAACAAACAAGTTCAAAATTATACATCACAGAACTCCAGGACACTTTGGCCTTGGCCTAGTATTCCTTGTCATTTCTGGCCATTTTCATGTCCCATTAGCTCCACCCCTGAGTTATGATTTGTCGAAGGGAAAATATCAGAGAATTTGAAGGTTGCGTAACATCATGAAAGGTATAAATAAATTGGATGCTGTACTGAAAACTGTGGAGATACAGACATGATGAAGTTTCTCGTTTTCGCTCTCTTTGTGGCTGGCGGTAAGCACACACAACACTCTTACAACCGTCTGTCTTGAGCCATGTTCACATGCTGTATTTCTCTACAAAGTGAAACTGTTCATATGTGTGCATCTGTTCACAATTTTAAAAGAATCTGTCTCTGTCTGTCCCCTCAGCCTATGGGTGCGGCGTGCCCACCTTCCCCCCTGTGACGAGCAGGGTGGTTGGTGGAGAGGATGTCAGGCCTAACAGCTGGCCCTGGCAGGTAAAGCATGCTGGGAAGAGTTTTCCTCAGAAAACAAGACATCAACTGTGTGAAAAAGACTTATTTTAGACTGCAGACCTCAACAGAGTAAATTAAAGGCTTATAGCTAAAGAGAAATATGTGAGTACCTTAGACACTAAAACTCTCACAATATTAAGTATTATTAGAAATATTCATTTCAAAGTGCTTTACATAAGGCAAATAAATACATTAGAACAATGTTTACAGGACAATAACAGGGAAAATAAATATTTTTTTTATTGGTAAAAAAAAAAAAAAAAAAAAGAAAAACAAACAAAAAAGGTGTGGTTAGATTAATTGTGTTATATGTTTTAGATTTCCCTGCAGTACAACAGACAGGGAGAGTGGAGACACACCTGTGGAGGTACTCTGATCTCTAACCAGTGGGTCCTCACTGCTGCTCACTGTATCAGGTATGAGACAAATGAGCTAATACAAATCAGGAAGCACTGACACAAACATCTATATCATGGTATATGGAATAATCCATGAGTATAAATTTGCAGTTAATTACATAGGGAAACTATTTAGTAGATAGTAAAGTGATGGGTAAATTATCTCAGCTCACTGTCACTTTTTTTTCACTTTTAGGACTTAACAGTAGATTGAAATGCTTGTTATGAGGACCATTTATAGAATCTGAAAACATGGTTGACTAATTGGCTAGTGATTGTTCTTAAGAATCTAGAAATGCAATGTTTGAAAAGGATCTCTGAACTCATCTGTCACTGCTTCATATTCTTCTCTGTCAACGTGCAGCAATGGCAGAGAGTACAGAGTGGCCATGGGAAAGCACAACCTGGTCCAGACTGAGGAGGGTGTTGTGTTCATGGGCACCGCAAACATCGTTGTGCATGAGAAGTGGAACCCCTTGTTCATCCGGTAAAAAGTTGCGTCTCACTAAGGATTTGGCGATGAATTTACGGAACATCAAAAAGTTAAAGATAATTACTGTAAAAATTACAGCTGTAAGTCTATAGTGAATCTAAGTGTGTGTGTGTGTGTGTGTGTGTGTGTGTGTGTGTGTGTGTGTGTCATTCGCAGTAATGACATTGCCCTGATCAAGCTGGAGTCCCCTGTCACCTTCTCTGACACCATCACGGCTGCTTGTCTGCCCACTGCTGGCTTCATCCTCCCCCACAACAAGGCCTGCTACGTCACTGGATGGGGTCGCCTCTACAGTGAGTGCACAGTCTACTCCCTCTCTTTAAAATCAGTTTACTGTGTGTAATACGAAGTCTGGCAGTTGCAGTGGAGATAACATTCTTTATTGCACTTTTGATAATAAAAAATTACAGTATATACTGTATACAGTATTATCTTTGTATCTATATA